ATTCTTACTGGCAGAGACCAGTAAGACAGAAATGACCATTCCAGTTCCCCTTGTCTTTGTCGGTAATATTACTCTGCACATATATCGAGAACTTGGTTCTTCGGAAAAATGGAGTTTTACTCGTGAATTTTCAAGTTGGTGATAACAACCTGTCGTAAGACGAACCAAAGACAAATTAGAAAGTAAGACAGTCATATGAAGCTAGTAGGGGCGACAGAATAGAAACTGGCAGGCAGACCATTAGCGCATAAGATGGTTGAGGTGGGCACAGGGTAACAGCACGTTCTGAACTGCGGTGTTTTTTCACCGTCAGAGGTAGTAACACTGGATTTGCCATTTCTGACTTGTTAGCCACCTTCATCCGGCGATACACCGGCTGCGGTTTGTTAGCTGAGTTCAGCGCTTAGGGAAATTACTCTGCAAGAAAAGGCATGTTAGACCGAGGCCATAAACGTTTGTTCCTGAGCTGAGGAGTGCGGTTTCACGAGTGAGCATTATGTAAAATACGACCGTTTGTCACATTCACAATGCCTATTTCGTGATGTCCCACACCTGTTTCCCAGATCCATCATAATCCGTAATTTTATCAACAGTTCTACGACAAGCGAGAAAAGACGGTCATTTAAGTTCATCCTTAGTGTTTTCCAAATTTTAAGTCGGTCTAACTACGCTTATTGTTATGCCCATCTAAAATCGAAACTATGAACGCTTTCCTGTTTTATTAAGATCTGCTGTGGACGGCCCCCGAACTTCTGCGTGAAGTTATTGTAAGGATTGCGGGGACTCAACAAGGGGACGTCTACTCCTTCGGCATAATTCTTCAGGAGATTCTCTGCTGCTCCGAACCCTTCCCTGATTGCGACCTCTCGGCAGAGGAAATTGTCGAGAAGGTTCGTGCAGGCGATCCGCCTTTTAGGCCAGAGGTACGTTTTCAAAATGTACGCACGTGCGGGTATGACGCCGATGGGGCAACTACACGAAAATATGATTTCTTAACTGCAGTAGACTTTTCTTTCGTCCCGTCCTTCGAGAATTTGACTTTTTTGCCATCCATAGAGGTTTTGGCTGATTTTGAATAATTCATATTGACCCATCTGTGTAAAACTCGGCGCCTCGGTTGGGTTCGAACCCACGCAGTAAGGGGAAGGCTTTAGTACAGCCAACGCTCTAGCCACCTGAGCTACGAGGCCCCACCAGAAAACGTGGGCTTAATCACAGTTAGGTTAAGTTACCCGTCCAGCCTACTGCAACGTGTGGGATCCACCAAATCTGATAAGTTGACTGCCCAAGCAGGATTTCCTAAGTAATTCACCTAGACTCCACCAGATGACTACCGGGCTGACGTTGGCTGTACTACAGCCTTCCCCTTACTGCGTGGGTTCGAATCCCACCAAGGCAGTTAGCTCAATATGAATTTTTTGCCAACGTTTAAAGACGCCCGGATAATGTTCGCGGTCTAGGTCGACTGACAATATTGTCTCACGTGCACTTGGGAGCAGGGGTTTAGCATGGCAATATGAGTTAGCTAAAACGATCAATCGACGTGCGTACGAGCAATAAGCCAAAAACCTTGTCCTTTATAACTTCGGGTTTCGTCCACCTACAGTGCGTGACCAATCTAATGAAGTGTTGGCCAAAATTCCAAAATATATTTCCGATTAGGAAGGATTACTTAAATGGGTTTATTATACTGATCGTCCTGCAGCATAACCCTATAACATTGCGGACTCGCCAGGATGTCTGCTTTTGAATGCACTTCTTTATGACCTCCTGCAGAAACTGCACTCGGTAAAGAATGACTACTTATGTGGCATGCATTTTTCCTATTGATTTTCGATGGTCTTATAAATTCAAATACATTTTATGGAAAACGTACACAAAATATGCCTTCTTTTCTCGTTCTGTAGAAAATCACACTGTCTTCATATTTTATACCTGAAAAATATGCATATTTAGGCTTTAAATAAGTTTTCCAATTCCCGAATAATTTTGAGCTAGATCTGCAATTGAATTAGCGTTTAGCGATTTCAGTTTACAAGGTGCATGCCTTCCGCGTAAGGAAAATAATATATTCCTCTATGCCTTTAAGAAGATCTACATAGAGTTCATGAAATTTTACAATGGGTGCGGATTATGTAATACATTTCATGAGGAGTATTAGTAAACGCACATGTGCGGTCTTGCATGCATGAACATCGTACGGTCTTAAAAATCACATAATAAGAAACTTTCTAAAAACCAAATTATACACATTTTTGGGCATAAAATATGAAGGCAATGTGATTTCCTACCAGATGAGCAAGGTAAAGCATATTTTGTGCACGTTTTCTGCAAAATATATTTTAATTTATAAGACTATCGAAAATCAACAGGAAAAGGTATGCTACATAAGTAGTCATCTTTTACCCAGTGTGGTTTTTGCAGGAGGTCAACAAGACGTGCATTCAATAGCCGACATACGAGAGTCAAAAATGTTGTAGGGTTATGCTGCATGATAGTATAACAACCCCGCTTAAGTAATCCTTTCTAATCAGAAATGCATTTTGGAATTATGGCCAACACTTCATGAGATCGGTCAGGCACTGTATGTGGGGTAAACAAATGTTTGAGGATTCTGACGCCTGTAGTCTGGGCAGCCCCTACCCTCATACTTTTTTTACTTATACACAACTCTGACGTTTTTACTCCATCGAGCGTATGCCGATGGTGCGATGCTCGACACCGTGAAAGTTCTCAAATCAGAAGGCAGGGAAAAAAGTTAGGTGACAATCTTTTACTGAGGCCAAGAGGATACACGCAGCACCGCAAGCACTTGCAGCAAGCGCTCTCACCAGGCAAGTGTTGGCCGACGGGCATGCGTCCAAACCTCGCCTAGCTGCGGTCAGTCGCTGGAGAGGAAAACATCGATCGGCGCCGCAAACCGGAGGTTGATTCACGCGTGGTAGGCGGACCGAAGGCCACATGGGTAAGCGGCACCACTGACAACTGTGAGAGCGGACAGCCACAGTACCAAAAAGATTGCTGGTAGAAGCGGCGAACAGGCGAGTTGCAGGTAGCAGTTCAGAAGGCGAAGATGTGAGCACTGGAACAAGAAATTTATTGGCCCGACGTTTCGGATTCTCGCTCGAATCCATAATCAGAGACAGTCGCAGATAAAGGTGCTGGTGGCACAAGAAGTGTAGTATTTATAGCACGTGGCTGCCGTGGGACAGTATGCATACTTGAAGAAGACGAAGAAGACACGATCGCCGGGACAAGAGCTTTATTAGCCTGACGTTTCGGATTCCTGCTCGAATCCATCATCAGAGACATAAGCAGATAAGGTTGGTTCATGCACATGTGGCTGCAGTATTTATAGGATGCAGTAGCCATGCCACCGCCTACCTATGAATGTTCTCGGCTCCCTCCCCTTTATCAGGGATCGTTGCACGTGGCGTGATGGTCGATATTCGCGTCGTTAATTGCTGCAATTTCATCACGT